CAAAGGAAATTGCTCAAAAATGAAAAAAAAAAATTCTTACCTTGTTCATGGGGAGCACGAAATGGATCTGAAAAATGGCCTAAGTTTCATGAAATTTTCATGTAATTTCATGTTAATTTAACATTTATTTAAGCTTAAATGAATAAAATTACTCATTTATTGAGAAATGTCCATTTTGCAATTAATGAAACATGATAATTACCATACAACCAAGTCACATCAACCTTATCATCTTTCAAAAGTCAAATATGAATCGACTATTTTACCCTTTTCCAATTTTACCAAGCAACTTTCCAAAAATTGCAATCTTGCCACTTTAATCCAACTGTCCAAATTAAACATGAATATAAATCTTCAAATCCAATGATCCATATTATTTTACATCATTTTAATATGTGGAAATAATATTTTAAGACTAATTTATCATCCTTCAATTTTTCCCAAAATTTCTATTCGATACAATTTACCGATTTCTTACCAGACTTTAACCCTTTCTAGTTTTCAACATAAATTCTGGATCAAGAATCTGATTTGAATAAAACCCCATACTAAAGAGTAATCTATTTATGGAATGATAATTATTTTTAGAAAATTACCACTTTGGTCACCTAAACTTTTCCCACTTTTATACTTTGGCCACTAAACTTTCAAAATATACATTTTGGTCACTAACTAAAATTTGGGGTATTATAGGTTAGGTGATACGCATTGGGGATCTCACTATAATTTGATTTTAAATGTGATTTATTTGTATTCTAAAATATGGGAGGTGCTTGATTTGATTGGTACTGATGCCCGAAATGATTATGCTAGAAAAGCTGATAATATGAGTTTTACAATAGAGTTATTTGACTTCATTTTCATGATCCACTTAATGAAGATAATATTTGGCATTATGAATGAATTAAACAAATCTTTACAAAGAAAAGATCAATATATTGTCAATTCTATGTCACTTGTTACTTTAACTAAAGAAAGATTACAAAATATGAGGAAAAATTAGTGAGAGTCTGATAACTGTCGTTTTGTTATCAAAATAATTTCGGCATCTCAATAAGTAAAAAGTGAGAGTAGTATAGAGAAGTAGAGTCGATCCACAGGGACTCTGGTGTTTCTGATTTAGTGGACTTTTTTTATTTAGAAGAAGATAGAATTTCAGATAAGGATAAGGATAAAAATATAATAATAAAATAATAAAATAAAAATAATAATTATAAAATAATGATAAAGATAAAATGGGGAGTTTTTAAATTGTTTAAAGAGATATAATGAGATAAAAATTAAATAAACAAATAAATAAAATAAAATAAATTGAGATAAAGAAGACTTATGGTAAGAACAACCTCAGACTTCAGCTTTGCCTCAAATTCCCCGGATCATCGAAATAGATCTTTACTTCAAGATTCACGTCGACTACTTGTCTATAAGGACAATTCTTTGTGACTATGCTTTGTATATCAAATATCCAAGTGCACACTTAAATTTCGGTTTGTGAGTTGATCTAAGATACAACAATGTTGTAGATCTTAAAACGTTGAAGTTCGAAAAGCTGTCGACTCAAATTATGTTGTTTCAACAATAACTGATTCTGATCTCAGTTTCCTCTTAGTAAACAATTTTTCTAAGTGTGTTCATAGGAAGTCAAATGTGCTTCAATAAGCCGATCCTTCTTCCCACGTTAATCATAACAACATCCAGACCAACGTCGACTTTTGGTTTTAAAAATTGTTTTGATTTGAATAATAAGCCTAGAAAACAAAGAGAAAAATCTAAAGCGATTTAAGTGCCTTACAATTCTCAAATTTGGAATTAAGCCTTCGCTTTAGCCTTCAGCTTAAAAGAAAATTAGCTAAGCATGACCAAAGTCATACTTAGCATATTTGAAAACAAAATTTTAAAATAAAATAAAAAGTATGCGAAAAACTTGAAAGAAAATAGAGAGAATTTTATAATGCTAGAGAGGAGAAAAATATTAAATTTTCAGATGTGAGAGATATGTTTCTAGGCTTACCCTGAGAGGGTATTTATAGCTTTCAAAATCCTAAATACAAGCTAAAGATAATTCCTAAAATAAAGAAATAAATCCTAATTAAAACACTTGAAAATATTTAAACTAAAACACCTAAAACAAAGATAAGATAAAATATCCTAAATCCTAATTAAAATACTTAAAACTATTTAAACGAAAATTCCTAAAACAAAGAAAAAATATAATATTTAAAATTAAAATAATATCCTAAAACATGAATTTAATTCAAATCCGGATTACAGAAACGTGCGGCTGATCCATTCATTTTTCTAGAAACGTTGACTGGACCTTCTAGAAGGTACTAACGTCATCACCTCGTCGGATGTTTCATGCCCACTAATCCAGCATTGATTCCGAAAATAAAAAACTGCAAAATTCTATCCATTTAGTGTAATTTCCATAATCTAGCATCCTGCACATAAAATGAATTAAAACGAACAAATAAGCCACAAAAACTAATGATTAAGGAGCAATTTAAAACCAAATTATTAACCAAATAAAGCACTTATCAAATTCCCCCTCACTTATTCAATGCTTGTCTGCATGCATGCATCAATTAACACATCAAAATCACAAGTTGTCATCTTCAATTTCAATTTATTTCTCACACTTCCAATCGAACTAAGTCCATGACATTTGCCGAATTCAAGTTACAATCAAGTAAAGACATAACTAAGAAAATTTAAAGTAAACAAGATATCCCAATTATTTTCCAACTTGAATGAAACATGACTCAATACCTTACAAATATTCATACATATCCGCTCAAAGTGTTTCGGGTAAATGAAATCTCTCAACCCGAAACTAACCAAAATATTACCATAGGCTTGGAATCCAATCAAGTCTCCGCTACAAAAAGTGAACATAATGCAATAATCAATTGGTCCTCAAACAAGGTGTAACATGGCTTAGGTTAGGGTAGGGAAAAGGCCAAAAAGGAAGATTTAGAATGACAAAACAAGAGATCAAAATAATTAAGAACAATCCACGAATTAACATGAAGCACAATGAAAAACAAAACAAGGTAAAATAATATATGAAAGGTAATTGAAACAATCGATTTTTCCTTCCCTTTTTTTCGAACGAAGGGTTTGTTTTTTTTCTTTTTTTCTCTGCTATTCGAAACAGTGAACAACTTTGTATTTTTTTATTATTTTTGAAACAATGAAATTTTTTGTTTCATTTTTTTCGTGGGACAAGAATGATACAAGATCTCAAGTCTCGGCAAGGGTGTGAAAGGAGAAGAAAAATAAAAAGAAAGGCTTCGGGTTTAATTATGAGGTGTAAAACAAAGAAAGTGAAATAAGCTCAAATGTGGTTTACTAGTGGATATGTAAATGGGTAGGCTTTTTGGAAAAAGTGGGTTTATCCTAGGTGCCCCTATCACATTAAAATATTACGCTCAACATATAGTCTCAATATGCATTGTGATTACAAGTTCTATAACATCCTAATTAGTCTGGCACACTCAAGTTAAACAATGAGAAAGAAATAAAACTTATGCTCGTTAGGCCCAATCACAAGAAAAGTTTACATGTACTGAGTCAACTTCATATTTATCAACAAAAGCATGAAATATCAATACTTAACAAAAATTTCACCAGTATACCAATAATCAATCATGCAAATTAAATTCAATCAAAACATGGTCATAATCCAAAATGAAACAATAGTATAGAGTGAAGTTCAAGAATAACAACCAACGATCCCAACACATCGATTTGTCCCAAAACGTATATTAAATTAACAAACAAAGAGAGGGAAAACGTATATTAAATTAACAAACAAAGAGAGGGAAAAAGAATACTCCCCAATCTAGTGGAGACCACGGCCACAGCCACGTCGAGACGAGCCCAGACGAAGGTAAAAAAGAACCTCAACTAGGTTGGCTTCAATAGTGTCAAGGCGACCAGACGCGCCTTGCATCTTGGCTCGTATATCTGATTGGGAACTGGCTGCCGGAGATGGTTCAGTTCATCTCATGTAAACACGCCATTACGGGGTGTAATGGTGTCGGGAGGTACAATGTGGGGGCAGCGGGAGTGCCTGTGAGAAGTACTATTGAGTCCAAACACCTAGCATCAAGTGGGTCCATAGAAAAAGCATGAGTAAAATTCGCAGTATCAAAGGTTAATGGAAATAAACGAGATGCTAAATGTGCAATATATGGTCCAAAAATCAAGGGTCGATTGGTTCGTACAACTCGCATGAAGGTTCAAGTGAACTAATATCCTAAGTTTACCTTCGTTTCGATTTGCATACACCATAAGAAAACAATTTAACCTTACTCAAACAATATGTAGTATCATTACGACCAAAATAGTCGTAAGAAAAGAACCGATGTATGTAACGAAGAGCGGGGTCGTGAATATGCCACGCCCTTGTAATGCGTGCAACAAATTGAATGCATGCCAATCAAACTTGAAACCTACGGTGATGAATGCTATCAAAACTCATAGCTTTGTCACCCTCAAAATCAAGATAACCTTGCAGCAGCTCCTCGGGTGGTACAGAATAGGTTTGGCCTCTTCGATTCCTTTCATCGAAAGGATTGAACATTTCGTCTGGTGGCCCTTCGGTTTCATCCGAGCCTGCTTCAAAGGATAAAGGTTGTGGCTGCCAGGATGAGTGGCAAGGCGGTGAAGGCGTGGGTCCATAAGAAGACGCGGGGCTCGGTTGTGGTGGTACACCACCCGGGAAATTAAATTCGTTCCTAAAATCTTTCGAATAGCCAAATATAGGGTGCCACATTAGTAACGGTTCAATAATGACAGGTTTAAAATTTACCTCATGTTGTTCAAGTGTAGTAAACGGCAGAGACTCAACATTCGGTATGAAACGCATTACCTAGCCCGACGGCATGGAGTAGAACGTTGGGGTCATTGGTAATGAAGGACTGGATGGTGGTACAGTGCTCGGTCCGGTAGTTTGATGGTAGAAACAGGTGGAACGGCCAAGTGATTGAAGGAAGATGGCGATCTCGAGTGCACGGGTTGGGGTCTTCGGTGGTGATCTTTTTCGCCGTTACGCACCACATTGAGGAGTTGGTGGCGTGGGAAGTGGGTCAGAATTGCTTGGAACATCGATGATAATCAGAGCAGCGTGGCAGTGACGTCCTCCAAGGTTGAGTGATGGCAGAACTCCTTGGTTCTCTTGGTTACGTGTTCGTACCACGGTGAAAAGAAATAGAGTAATCGGCATGTGGGGGAGGCGACGAGCGATAAACGGGGATGAAATGTGACTGGCGGTGAGGTATGGTGCGGTAGTTGATCGAAAGAAATAAAGAAAGGAAGGGTAAGGGGCGGGCGGCTAGAATGAAAGATGAAGGAAAATTGTTGGGTTGTTTTAGGAAGCTTGTCACGTGGGGAATAAAAGAAAGAAAAAGAAGAGTTTGATTTTTAGTCAAACTGAAAAGATGGAATGATAATTTGCTGGGATTGGTTTAAAATTGTAAATGTAGAGATAGTAATAGATAAGGTGGGGCCCATGAAAAATTTGAAACTAAAGTAACTTCAAACATGGAATTTTCGACATAAGAGGGAATAAAAAATTTGACTTGGGGCATGCTAACATGTGCCACCTGGGGGGTTAGGCTATGCTAACGTGTGCCTGCCTCCTATTTCTAGACGTGAAACACTACTCTTTCGTTAAATATTCGATCAGAATTCGAATCTATTCAGAGATGAATAAAATAAAATTAAGCATCTGATAAAATAATATTAAATAAATGGAATGAAATAAATTTTGTCTAAAAATTAAGAGAAATTAAAATGAAAATAAAACGAAATTAAAAAAAAATGGATTGCCTCCCATCAAGCACTTTTGTTTAACGTCGTTAGCTCGACGACCTGATTTTTCAGACTGCGGGTTCCTCTAAATTGATTTCTTCGATTAGACCAACTGGAGCATTTTCATAACACTACTTCAATCTTTGGCCATTAACTTTAAATCGAACTCCTGAGTTATTTTTAACTTCAACAGCACTGTAAGGAAATACTTGAGTCACTGTAAACAGTCCGAGCCATTTTGATTTGAGTTTCCCTACAAAAAGTTTAAATTTAGAGTTAAATAACATAACTTTTTGACCGAAAAAAAATGTTTTAAAAAAATTGACTATAATGAAATTCTTTTGTTTTTTCTTTAAATATTTGAGCACTGTTATAGGCACTTTTTCTGATTTCCTTGAGTTCTTGAATATGTAATTTCCGAGCTTCACCAACTGTATCCATGTCCATATTACATTGTTTAATGGCCCAATCATCCCGATATTCTAACTCAACTGGTAAATGGCATGGTTTACCGAAAACAAGTCGATATGGTGACATCCCAATGGGACCTTTATAAGTGGTTCGATATGCCCAAAGTGCATCAGTTAATTTTAAACTCCAATCTTTTCAGTTCGATTTAACAATTTTTTCAAGAATTGTTTTAATTTCCCGATTTGATACTTTGGCATGTCCATTTGTTTGTAGATGGTAAGCAATAGCAATTCTTTGAGTTACTCCAAATTTCTTCATTAGCATCTTGATTACTCGGTTGATGACATGAGTTCCTCTATCGCTTATTATAGCTCGTGGCATGTCATACTTGGAAAAAATATTATTTTTCAAAAAATTAATCGTAGTTTTAGCATCATTATTCCGAGTGGTCTTAGCTTCCACCCATTTAGAAACATAATCTATAGTTAAAATATTATAGATATTTCTAAATAATGAAATAAAAGGACCCATATAATCAATTCCCCAAACATAAAAAAAATCACAAACTTTTATAGGATTAAGTGGCATTTCATTCCTACAGCTTAAATTACCTGTATGTTGACATCTCTCACAAGTTTTACAAAATAGATATGAGTCTCGAAAGATGTTAGGCCAAAAGAAACCGTTTCAAGAATTTTATGAGTTGTACGTTTTGGCCCAAAATGACCACCGTAAGAGTAAGAATGACAAAATTGTAAAATTGAATTTACCTCACTTCATCAATACATCGTCGAATTACCTGATCCAAGCAGTGCTTCTATAAATAAGGATCATCCCAAATATAGAATCGGGATTTACACTTAATTAAATTGATTTCAACTCTTAGTAAATCTAATGCTAACTTACATGTGGCCAAATAATTAACCATCCGCAAACGATGGAGTTATGTTTTACGCCACCATCAGTTTTTCTTCAGGGAATTCTTCTCTAAGTGGTGGGTCAGATGTAGAAATGGGAATTCGACTCAAGTGATCTTCTACCGGATTTTCACATCCCTTTTTTTATTTCCAAGTTAAACTCTTGTAAAAGCATGATCCATCAGATAAGCCTCAGTTTTGCTTCCTTTTTTGCTCATCAAATACCTTAAAGCTACATGATCAGAAAAAAACAGTAATTTTAGTGCCAAGAAAATAAGATCTAAATTTTTCTAAAGCAAAAATTATAGTAAAAAGTTTTTTTTTCGGAGTTGAATAATTGTTTTGAGCAAATTCCAAAGTGTGGGATGCATAGGCTATGACATGTGGCTCTTTCCCTATTTTTTGGTGCGTCACACATAAGTTCAAAGGGATAATTTCAATCTGGCGGCTGAACAATTGGAGTGGAAATAAGCTTTTCCTTTAATGAATCAAAAGACTCCTTGCATTTTGAATTAAATTCAAAGTCTTGATCCTTTTGAAGAAGCTTGCATAATGGTTGTGCTACCTTTGAAAAGTCTTTAATAAACCTGCGGTAAAATCTTGCATGGCCAAGAAAAGAACAAATTTCTCTCACAGTTGTGTGGTAAGGAAGTGAGCGTATAATATATATTTTAGCTTTATCAACCACAATCCCTTTTGAGGAAACAATATGACCTAGAATTAACCCTTTATCAACAATAAAATGACATTTTTCATAGTTTAAAACAAGGTTATATTCTAAGCATCTTTTAAGCACATTAGTTAAATTATTAAGACATTCACTAAAAAAAGTTACCATAAACCGTGAAGTCATCCATAAAGACTTTGATGCATTTCTCTACATAGTCGGAAAATATATTCAACATGCATCTTTGGAATGTAGTCTACGCGTTACAAAACCAAAGGGCATTCATCTATATGCAAATGTATCGAATGGACAAGTAAATGTCATTTTTTCTTGATCCTCGGGTGCTACTGGATTTGGAAAAAACCTATAAAAACCATCAATACAACAGTAATGAGTTTTCCCAGCTAATATTTCAATCATTTGGTCTATAAAGGGAAGAGGAAAATGATCTTTTCGAGTAAGAGAGTTCAACTTCCTGTAATCAAAACAAACTCGCCATCCATTTTGAACTCTTGCTAGCACTAACTCCTCTTCTTAATTTTCTACCACTTCGATTCTCGTTTTCTTGGAAACCACATGAATCGAGCTCACCCAATTACTATCCGATATCGGATAAATTACGTCAGCATCAAGGAGTTTCTGAATTTCCTTGTCTACTACTTCCATCATCGGTGGATTTAATCAATGTTGTCCTTCTTGTAATGGCTTTGCTCCTTCTTCGACTTTGATTTTGTGCATGTAAGTCGAGGGACTTGATCCTTTAATATCGACAATAGTCCATCCTATGTCTTCTTTGTGAGAACGCAACACCGTTACCAAAGCTTCCTCTTCTCATTCGGATAATTTACTTGAAATAAACACCAGTAAGGTTCTATTTTTGCCTAAAAAGTCATATTCCAAATGTTCCAGTAACTATTTTAATCCCAACTCATGTGCCTTCAAAACAGAAGGTAAAATTTTAGTTTTAGAGGAAGGTAAAGATAAATCAGAATTGATTGAATGAATATTTTCAAACTCTATTTCTTCCTCATTTTGGCAAAGTTTAGGATCCTTGGAAAGATTATAAGAAAAATTAAATTCAATAAATTTATCAATTAAAGGATATATAACATCAACAGAATTAATTCTTTCAACACGATCCGGGTATTTTATTACTTTGTAAACATCAAATTCAACGATCTCACCATCAAATTCCATTGTCAGTATACCACTTCTAACATCAATCTTTGTATGTGCGGTGCTTAGGAAGGGTCGACCTAAGAGTACTTCGGAATAAGAATCTAACCTATCATGTTCCATGTCAATGACATAGAAATCTGCATGAAAAAATAATACATCGACCTTTGCTAAGACATTTTCCATCACTCCCACTGGATAGATCATGGATAGATCATAGATCAATCAGCCAACTGTATGGTTATCCATGTTTTCTTCTGTCGCAACCGTATTTCGGTTGGGCCCCGGAATTGGTCTTCGACTTGAAAAATGTGGATTGGAGTCGCCACCGATCATTCATTTAAAACAAATGGGTTGATTGGATACCCTATTTCTTACTTGATCTGCGTCTTTCCATAGATGTGTCGGGTTCGGGAGTCGGTTACGGTCAAGGAAGGATTAGCACCCTTGAACCGTCCTTTCGGTACTACGTAATTTTCAGTTGTCTTTGATTAAGAAAATTGCAAGTTAAATTAAAAGGTAAAATTTGATCTGAATTACTTACCCTTAATGTGTTTACGGAAATACCCTTAAAAATAAGATTTTAAAAGAAAATAATAATAATAAAAGAAAGTAACAAAACTAAATAGTAAACCAAGGAAATAAATGAAACCAATAATAATAAACATAAAATAATTGAATGAAAAAAAATGAAATTGAATAAAATAAAATAAATGAATATAAAATATATATACAAAAAGAATAAAAAAGGTAAAGTGTTTTTTTTAAAAAGAAAAATAATAATAAGAGCAAAGAAACTAAAAATATAATGAAAATAAATAAACAGTATAAATAAAATAATAAAAATATATATAAAAATATAAAAATGTATGTATATATAAAATACTAAATAGTAATAATAATAATAAATAAATGAAAAATAAATATACATATAATGTTAACTAAAAAAATAGTAATTAGAAATATAAAATAAAATAAAGTAAGAATATATATATATAACGTTAGGAAAATATAGTAAAAAAACATAGTAAATAAGTAAACATAGATAA